GGGGCGGAAGAAGAAGAATTAGATCTAAGCCACTCAGACAAGCAACCGATTAAGAGGTGAAGCACAACCCATAGAAAATAATTTGTATCCTGGACTGATTTGTGGGTATCCCGTTAGCGTCTTGGTCAGAAGAATAGATATTCCTCTTGTCTCTGGCATAGTATAACAAAGAATGATCGTGAATCTGGGCTGCACACAGAATTCCTAAAAAAGGTATGTTTCTCCACTGATACCCCTATGTAGCTAGCATAAACACTGGATAAGCGTAAAGAAGAGAGATGAATTAATAGCGGGAAGGCAAAATACTACTTGGAGAATACGTCGCTGGTTTACCGCAGGAACCCCTGAACCTCGGGAAGCATACTGAATTTTTTTACCATGCTTATCAAAAAGTACCTAACCATATTCTTTAAATAACTTGTAAAATATCATCTGATACGATCTTTGTAGGCAGCATTTAAGGAAGACTGATGTTTTTTAAATTAGCAATAATAGTTTGAAAAAGATGAGAATAAGCCCCATGCAACTAATACCCCACATACTTTCATTAAGTGATTTGCCTTTAGCCTGAGATGTTTCAGTTGTTTTATACCTCTCCCCTTGAAGAGAAGGTGCCTTTTTGTGGCATGAAGGTAGTCTGTTTAACATTAGGAAGCACAGCTTTCTCCATTCCATCGGCACCTTTCTTTCTACTGTTGATATTTTATTTCCATATGCAAAAATTGTGAAGAATCAGCTTGGACATAGCATTTGGTATGTTATTTGAATGTGCCACTTCTGATTATATAAAGAGAGGAAATAATTCTTTTATTTTCAGTTTTAAGGCATATGAGATAAATTATTTTATGGATAATAGCTTTTAAATGTTGCCTGAGATTAATATCTTCGGGTAAGTTTTATGCATCTCAAGCCTATCTCTTATGAGTCTAATTTTATTTTTAAATATTTACACTTTGAGATACTTCTGTCCTTTCCAAAAGAAGTTACAAGGATGTTTAGTTTACGTGA